GTATTCTACTGGATTAGCAAGAGACCTTACCTGTTCCTCCACCATGTACAAGATGGCTGCTGGAAAGAGGCCATTATTTTGTAAAATGGATCTAATGCCCCCTAGAAGGGAAAGTGGATCCCCTGGGTCCTGACCCTTCAGATTTGGAGTTCAGAGCAAACAGATAAAGAAAGACCAGAAGGTCAAGGTCAAGGAAGAGGCAAGGACAATTAATTTTATAAAATAAAGGAATCTGTGAAAAGATTGGGTTGAGGATGACAACCGAGCTCAACCCCAGGCCACAGGGAGGTTGCTTTCCCATGGCTGGTGCAGGGGACCAGGTGGTGCCTAGCTCAAGCAATATCTAGACATGAACCCAAAGCAGTCTAACCTCATGCCCAGCAGGGGTCCTGCAGCCACAGATCATTGCAGCTGCATATCTACATGGGCCACACTTGGTCAGTGACACTGGGGGTCAGCATGAAGCAATGGCACCAGGAGACTGATGGGAGGCCCTTTCTTTCCTTCTTTGCATTTAAAGGGAAACGGATTCCTTTTGGAATCTATTAAACAAAGTTGTTGAGCAATTTGATGTAGGAGGAAGAGGCAAGAGAGAGACTCTGGAACTCCCCCTAATGAGGATGGGGCCATATGGCAACATTGTAATGAAATAACAAAGGTCACTTATGTAGTACTTATTTTATTTTGCCACACAAACAGCACCCTAACATTAGTCAGGTGCCCAAAGAAGATACCACTGTCCCTAAGCTGCAAATATGAATTGCATTTGGTCTCACCTTTTGGGATAATTGCAATGGTGTCTACTGTGCTTGGTCTTGGGGAGTCTATGCACCTGATTCTGTCAATGATCCATGAGAGAATTGTCGGCAGCTTCGGGGGAGTTCCACAAGAAGGGAGAGAGGTCAGAGGTGGGTGGAGGTCCCTCTGACTTCCCTCCTCTTCCTGCTCTCCTGGAAGGATGTGAGGCTTGAAGCCGTTGAGCCATTTTCAGTCGGTAGGAAACCATCTAAGGAAATCAGGAATATGTGATCCAGGTCTCCCACTGTAGCGTGGAGCCGTGGGCAGCCCAGGACTGCTGGGGCTTCCCGTTTTGCTTTGGGGTGATTATGTGTCTTCACCCGTGGGCACACTTTAGTTTTCTTACTATAATACAGAGGCATACAGTTTCCACAGACTAGGTTTCCCAGGTACACATCCTCAAAGCAGCATGTGTGACAGGGTGGTGGCATCACAATTTCCCTTAAGAAACTTACTTTCAAATAAGCACTTTCAGATCCCTATCCTTAGCTCTCCAGTAAGTTCCATTATGGGGAAGAAACAGCCTAGAACTCCTCCCCTTCCCAGTTTCTCACACACAGAGCCTGCCCCCAAACATACATTTTAAAAACCATCTAAACTGAGGTTTCATTCTTCTAGGAATATTAAAAAAAATCCTTAGCGAGTACAAATTCGGGCTGAATCCTCAACACAGGCACAGAGATCTTCAGAGGCCTGTAGGAAAACGACTCTGGGAGTGGTAGTCCTTCTCAACCCTTTACTACAAAGCCCTGCACAGATTCCTCCAAACCTTCAATGTTTAAAAAACAAATGGTCAATACCTGCTGCAGCAATCACTCATGTTTGATTGATTGTGTGTCTTTGAAGGTGAAAAAGTACAAATAGCTTGAAAAGAAGAAATACACAGAGGAGCAATCGATCTGATTTACCTATTGCAGCAGCAAGCCAGGCGCTGAGCAGCTGTGTGGCGGGTGCCCCCGCATCCTCTGAGAGCAAATGCCCAGGATCCTGGCCCTGCTGTGACCATGTCCTGCTGACCAGCTACCCGATCACCATGGAGAGAGAGCATCTGACTAGCAGAATGCCATCTGTTCCCTCGGTCACAGGTCCACAGGTCCCTCATCATCTGTGTGTGGGTGCCCAGGGGGCAGGTGCAATCATCAGACCCAGCAATGGATCATTTGGCTTCCCTTTTCCAGATGATCCAAGATATCACCAAGAGAGAAGGCAAGGGAGGGACGGTGGACACCACGTACCCAACACATAGCTTGCCACACCGTGCTGGCTCTACGACTTGCTGTCCCCATGTGAACTTTGTATCCCTGTCTTCACATACAGGGGCCGAGTCACGCTGCTTGCTGGAGTGCCCCGGGCAGTGAGAGATGAGCAGAGTTGTGGGTGGACCCAGGAAGGCACAATTTAGACCCCAAATGGCCACACTCCTCAACTTGTGATCTAAACTCACATCAAGGCACTCGTTCTGAGTATCTGTGGATAACAGTGGATTTCTATGTCATTGACACCCAATAGCCACTCACCTTGTTCATGAAAACAATGCCTTGCATGTCCTCCAGAGACCAGCAAGTGACCCAGGCCAAGAGAATCAAAGCTCCTTATTCCATCATCCATGGTGCCCACTCCAGGGATGGGCATGGCACCCCAGAGTCAGGGAGGCCAAGCTCTGTGGTCTTTTGTGGGAGAAAAGCACCCCACCAAACCACAGGAGCTATGCTCACACTCTGACTCACACTCCGGGGACCCTTGCACCCCCTCAGCACACTTCTGCTTTCAGTTCCAGCTTTAGGGGCAGGTTGGGTACCTTGATACTCACATGATCCTTATCTCATGTCTGGTGGCTGCTAGGATCCTTCCTCCTTCACAGGCTGGGGAATACCCTCAGCTCCTGCTTACTGCAGAGCTCAGGTGTGTGAGTGAGAACGCCCCACGTATGACCCTTCCCCACGTAGGAGGGTGGAGCAGCCTCACAAGGATCCGGTCTCTTGTCCTGCCTCCTGTGATGATCGGAGGCCCTGCAGGTGGCAAGCCCCCACTGCCCACAGCAGAGACCTTCCCTCTGGCCTGGCCCACCTCCCAAGCTAAATTACCTCTGCCTAAGTCTTTATCCCAGGCCCAAGTTTCCCTTCACCAAGACAGATGCTATCTTTAGAATGCTGGGAAACAGAGGATAGATGGGACAAATGCAAAAACGTCATTCATACAAGATGGGATGGTCAGTGTTCCAGGAAGAGCCCGGGAGCTAAGAGGACCCACCCTGAATGGCGGTGTTTTAGCTAGGCGGCATCACCTCCTCCATCTGCACAAGAGGAGGCTGGAGCATGGGCAGGGGTGGCGTGGCTGCACCTGTGTTTTGTATTGGGCTCCACATAAGCTGAGGCCCTCTTCAGACTGGACAGAGCCCCTATCTGAAACCATCACAAGTCCTGTTAGGGTTTAGTTGTGAAGCAACCCGCAAAAGCTCACAGGTGAGGCAATGCAAGAAAGTTTAGTAGTGAGATGATTGGATTAAGAGGGTCTGAACCTAATCAGCACACTAATCTGCGGATGGAGATTAACTACATGGTGACTGCAGACATGGAGGATGTGGCTGGAGGAGGTGGGTTATTAGGGGCAGGCCTTTTACTTAAGTTCCTGGGGTCTGGAGAGTTTAAATTTATTGAGGATCATAATATCGTTGCTTTGATCTTGCCTTTGCTGTATCTCAAACAGAAGTCTCTACTGGAAATTAAATTTTACCTCAAGTATTCACTTGCCAATTAAGAGATTTAAAAATACATTACTCCTAATTTAGCCGCAAGCCCATCTTCTTACCACTTTCAAACTCTATCATGGTGATGCTCCTCTCTAGCCCCTGGCTTGAGGACCTCTCTGGCCTTTTTCCCTCTTGACTGCTACCCTCACTGGCCTGAGAGTTTACTTGCAAGTCACAGTCTTGGGGTTCCTGAAACCAGCTGGGCTTATTTTTACAAGTGGTTAAAATTCCTTCTTTGTTCTCTGTGTTTTTACTAGAAGCAGCCAGGCTCTGTATTGTCACCAAAGCTCCCAGACTGGGGTCTCATTCCCCTACTGATAACAAATAGACCATGAAATACTCACTAAAGGAAAAGAGTATAATCTCAGCTCTGGGGCTCAGAGCGTCACTAAGCCTGTGGGGTATTGCGCTTTGATTTTTCGACAGTGAACCTCCCTGAGTCTGCAACGTAACTACATCATGCTGCCTGGTAGCATTTACTAAGGGATTTCTCTTTAGTTCATCTGACTCAACCTTGTTATTTCTGTCTCACTCTCCCTCCCATGTTCTCAAGAATTTTTCTTTTTCCTTTTGTTGCCTTGCTGGGGATTGAACCCAGGGCCTCTCGTATGCTAGACAAGCACTCTAGCACGGAGCCACATCCCCACCCCTCCCTGCCTCCTTCTCTAGCTTCAGTTGCAGCCTGGATAGAAGACTTGGGAAGCTCCCGTGAGACTAAATTAACAACTGGTTGGGGGCATTTAGCTCTTTGTAGCAGCATCGCTCCTAGTAATCAAAGAGCAGGAACAGTCCAAACACCTTTCAAGTGGTAAAGGCTCTATAAATGTGGTATATCCCCAAACTGGAATATTCTATGACAACATATTCTATGGAGTTCTGACAGGTGCTACATTGTAGATGAACTTTGAGAAAACCACGCCTAGCCAAAGAAGCTGGGCACAAAACACCACGTTGCATATAATTCCAATTACATTAAACGTCCAA